AAAAGAGCCTTCCGCGGGTCCATACCATTACCGTCACTCTCCTTTTCAAAATAAGGACAGTTATTTGTATAAAGTTTATTTTAATATAATAAATATTTAATAATTTTTATTTTATAATATATTATAATTCAGACCGTAAAACAAGTTTTTTATATGTAAATATATATATATTTTTTTGGAGAGAAGGGAACTTTGATTAAACATCTAAGGCGTTGAAAGCATTTGACATTCGCATTCACGGTATCTCTGTGGATGGAGTTGATTTATCCAAAAACAGATCAAGATGCTTGTGGTTAGTAGGTGGAAGTGAAAGCAACATCACTAGATCTAATCTAGTTTGCTAAATTTCCTGGAGGTAGGTCAGATTAGGTGCCTAATTATTTCTCCAAAGCTGTTTATAGTGTCCACCCCAAAGCATCCCTTGCATTTGTTAACACTTGGTCATACCATATAAGGTCAAAGAGCAGTAGTAATATAAAAATAATAGTAATTAATACGTACAGGGCATGCACCACAAAAGTGCCAGCCTCACCAGCTAGAGTTCTGTCACTTAGCAATGCTTTATTTTTGGCTAGTTCACATTGTCATGTAATACTCAATCGGCCTCCAAATTCAATTATCAGCTACCCTGTTAAAACCATGGTCTCTAGCTTGGTGGGCAGGTGTCCTTGGACACCCGGAGACTAGAAGGTTTACTTGGAGAGAACTGACTGTGAAGTTTGAACAGAGCGAATGCATACTGAATTAGTTGTAAATTTTAAAACTTGTGAGGGAAAAGAGGAAACCAAACAACGGAGCTAGTATGCATTGGTGAGCTAAATTGTCTTTAAGAAGACTCAGACGAGAATAATGAAGGGAGAGTCAATTGGATTCCAATCCAAAACACTAGCAAACAAACTACACGGCTACGAAAATCGGTTGCAGCTTTTTATTAACTTCGCTCGCCGCACAATACGTGGCTCTTTCCCACATCGATTTCAATGCTGCTTCTGCTTCCCCCTCCCAAAAAAAACCCCAAAAACATAGCACATTAATCCCACACTCCGCCCCTGCCTTTTGTTTGCTAATAATCTAGCTCACCCCAGTACTGCTAAAATGGAAGATTTTCAATAATTTTTTGTCCACCTCTTTCCTCCCCTGTCCCAACTCGATTACATCTTGGCTTTACGTACTTTTTTCATTAACAGGACAAAACATTAACTGGTAGACGCGTTTAAAATATTGCACAAGTTTCCAATTTTTACGATATTATACAAACACTACCGTCCATCTAACACTCAACCCCACTTGTAATTTCTCTTAGCGAGTAACTGTTTTGTAAAAACCTTTTTTGTCTTAATGCATCCTCCGGACTTAATTTTCTGAATTTCAGCAAATCAACTGCTCTAGCTAGGTTTAGGAATGAGGGGTCATGAGTCAATACCTGGAAGTGGCAGGGTGATTGTTTAGTCAATCTATGGATCATACGTTCTGAATCAACTTTCTGAATCAACTTTCTGCTTATGGGATATTGGTGTGATGTGAAGGATCAACTTCTACTTTTCATGGAAGCTGAGAAATGTATAACTTGTGAAATGACATGCGGACAAGGACAAGGGAAAAATGGAAATTTAAAGAAATTTTGAAAGACACAATGAAGTAACACCAAAAAATGCAAATTGATGACTTAAACACTCAAAAAATTTTCCATAATGGTGAAATCAAGGTGAAACAAAATCTTTACATTTCCTAGTAGTACTGAAAGGGTGATGATAACTGATACTAACTCCATTTAAGAAAAGTTAACCCAATTGAAAAATTATTCAAAAAGTAGAAGAAACTAGATACAGAGATTTTAGCACTACGTACAGACTTTCCTCTTCGAACTTGGAACGAAGATTTGATTCTAAGCCTTTATACAAAATATTGTGGTTCTGGATCCAGAAAGAGACTAAATGACGCCAAATTCCAAAATACCCTCGTTTTCCCCTCTACAAATTGCTCAACTGAATCAGAGTATGATGAGGAAAACGTGGATATTTTGGTTAGGATTGAGTAATGAGTGCCCAAAATTCAAAATCAGTAAACAAGAGGAGGGAAAAGATATGTGTCAACTAGTTGTGCAGAGGATCTGGGCAGCTGGGCACCTTCCGCTTGCTCGCTTCAAAACCTTTATCGGTTCTGTTGAGACCAAAAGATCTTCCGTTGAGGAGCTTCCGTACCATCTTCTCTTTCCTCTCCTTCGTCGTCCCTCGGCGATCGGCCGTCGTCTTCGGCGCCACCCCGTTTCCCGGGAATATCCGCATAGCTCCGGCACGGTATTGGCAGCAGGCCCAAATCTGTAACGTAAATATGATCAGCAGCACCACCGCAGAAAAAAACAAACTTTTCCTCCTCCCTACACACGTCATATCGCCGCCAAACGAGAACCCACATAAAGCACTTTCTTCTCTTACGACCCCTTTCTTCCCCTCTCTGTCCTTTCGGCGGTAAACTGAAGCTTGTCTTATCTAACTCGCCCTTTATCCCCTGAACCATTCAACGAAGCAAACTCTATCCGCGATCAACTTGAGAATTTCAGGTTGGGGATTCCTTCTCTCTCTACAATTTATGAGGAATGGGCGAAAAAATGGGTAGAGAGGGGAAGAGCCAGGGGTGATAGATGAGGGGTTCATGCAGCGCTCTGCATCCCAACCGGCACACTGACCCACGTGACGAAAGAACAGTAGTCCGTGGTGATGCCTGCTTTGTTTTTACATTTCGAAAATATAAAGGGGCCTTTTGTTCTGGAGTTTTAGAGACGGTACATAGATGTTGAACACTTGAACTCTAATAAGTTAAATATATAAGTGTTTAGCTAAAAAAATTTATCAGTAATTAGAAATAATTTAATGGTAATTGTTGACATTTTTAACAATTATTTTTTTTCCATCAGCTTCCTAAAATGTGTTTTTCGAACAATATTTTTGTAAGATATGCTGTGGAATCTCATTTTATTACTTATTAACCCACCATTTTTAATTTGATTTAGTTTAATGAATGAATTAGTATATATTTAATAATTTAATTTTATGTGGTATTGTATAAAATATTGTAAAAAAAATATAGTAAATGAATTACATACTATGGTATACATATCAAAGTAATCAATACCATATTGGTATGCATACCGATTTTGCTACTGGAAGGTACGTACTGGATATCAAAATTTTTCGTGTACCATTTCGGATTTATCATTAGAAATATATATTTTTATAAATTAAATATCAAAATTTAAAATAAGATAAGAGATACTAATATTTAAAATTATGATATTCTTATAAATTAAAAATA